AAATTATTGGACGGATTGGTGGAATCTTTATAAAGGCACATCTAGTAATACAAACTTTTATTCATCAAAAGAAAAACAATCGCTGTTTAATGATCAGAATAAATATAATCAATGTTTAACTGTACTTAAAAATCCCAACGATTTACACAACCCAAAATTTAAATATTGGGTAACTAATAATTTTAAAATTCTTTACATTGGTGCGATTGAAGAACTTCATACTATTAAACCAATTGAACATGACCTGGGGATGCAAGTTTGTCCTATTGAAAACTTTTATGAAATATTCTGTACCGCACACCAGGCAACGGAGCACACTGGTCGAGACAAAATGTGGTAAAAGGTTTTTTTAATTATTATAATTTTATTTTATTGCTTATTATTATTTTTTTTTATTCATTACTTATTTATTAATTTTTACATGTAAATAAAAAGATTCGTATATGGTATTGTTTTATTCCACAAAAAATAGTTGAAGATGCCATTCGTGAATATAAAGTTTGTATTACTAGATGTGCCTTTATAAAGATTCCACCAATCCGTCCAATAATTTCTGAAGAATTTTTGCATCACATGCAGGTAAAAGTTATTGCATGTTTTTTATTTTTATCTTTTATTTTTTTTTTAATTAATTAAAAAAAATTATTTGTAGATAGATACCATTGACATGACATCGATGCCTGATGGAATGTATAAATATATTTTTCATATTAGGGATTATTTTTCTGGTTTTCATATGCGGAGCCCTCACAATCTAAGATAGCTAAAGAAGCTACGGCTTGCTTATTCAATTTTTGCATGATTCACGGTCCTCCCATAATATTACACTCTGACAATGGTGGCGAGTTTGTTGCTAATGTTATTAACGAGACATTAAGTCTCTGGCCTACTATCAAATTGATCTATAGTAGACCAAGAAACCCACGTTGTCAAGGAATAGTAGAAAAAGAAAATGGTATCCTTCAATCCAAATTAGGTGCCTAGATGGAAGAGACAACACGTAACGATTGGAGTATCAGATTGAAATTTGTTATTTGTGTGTATTTTTTTTATCTAATATCATTACTTTTATTTCTTACACACGAAATAACAAATTCTTTATTTATTTTTATTTAATTTTTTTTATTTTTTTATTTTTTAATTTTTAATTTTTTTTATTTATTTATTTAATTTTTTCTGCATTTATTATTTTTTAACATTATATTAATTAATTAATTATTTATTTATTATTATTATTATTAAATTTTAATATTATCATAATTATTTAAGGACTATGAATACTCAGTATTGTACAGCGCATAAATCGATCTCTTATAAATTAGTATTCGGACAGCTTCCCCACTGTGATACTAATTTAGCTAATATATTGGAAAACGAAAAGTCATTAAATAATCACACCCTAGTATCTGAAGATTCCCAATCGAGTATTGTTTCTGAAATCAATAGTGAAACGCTAGAATCAGAACTCAATGAAATATATTTTGAGAAGTTGCAAGAGGTAGAATCGGAACTTGACGAAATATATTTTGAGAAGTCGTACAGGGTCGATAGTGATACAGAACAGAATAACTATAGTGATGTTGATATAAATGAAACACAGGTAGGGTATTAACTAAATTTGAATATTGAGTTTAATGTTAAATTGAAATAGAATAACTAATTAATATAAATTCGGGTTTATTTGGTTCCAAACTCTAAATACAGGAAATCGACGATGTAGGTGAAATACAAGATAATGCAGACGAAATACAGGATAATGCAAATGAAATACAGGATGATGCAGATAAAATAAAAGATGACAATGATGATTATGATATACAAAAGTATTATAATTCTGAAATTGAAGAGTGTTCTAAAAACACACTAACCCCAGAAATTATTGAAATTGTCGATTTGGATGATGATTCAAGTGAAAACCAACGTTATACTTGGCAGGAAAAAGAGAAATGACAATCTCAAACTGGTGAAATCAAGGTTATTTACAGTAAATTAAATTATTCAATCAAAAACAAAACAAATAAAAAAAAATAAAACATAATAATTACAAAAAATTTTTTATAGCCATCAACTAGTACAAATTCAACTCGTCCATCTTTTGAACGGTTACGGTATGATTCCCCGAAAGTTATTTACCCGAAAGGCCACTTACCCGACATCACAAGGGTGACAAATTGCTAAAAATATATACCTACAGCTAATAAAATGTTAACCCTAACCCTATGTGATGTCGGGTAAGTGGCCTGTCGGGTAAATAGCTTTCGGGGAATTGAGCAACAACCCTTTTTGAACAGCATGAAACGATTCGACAAACGGCAATTTTAAACATAAAGAAAAACCGGAAATTTATACGAAGTAGAATGGAAGAAAAATATAAAAATAAACGTAAACGAATATTCGAACCTGGTGAATTCGTTAAAATTCATATACCTGATATTGACAAGAATAAAATGAGCCGAAGGTCCTTACCATGCAAAGTCATTCAAAAAAAGCCTGATATTGATTTGTACCAAGTTGCTTGCCAGTATGGAATGCTTGAAAATTGGTACCCGGCAAGTGAAATTAAGCCACTTGGAACCCCAGATTATCCTTCTCTTAATGTGGTTCCGTTAAACAAAACTATTTCATTAAGACACGCAAGCTTTAAACAAAATAATGAACAATTTTCAAGCCATAATAATGATATCAATAATATCTCGGCTAAGTAAGTATAATAATTTATTACGTAATAATTATATAACAATGAGCTAATAAATTCTAATTATCTACGTAGCAATAATCAACCATCTCAAAACAATCGTTCAAATTGTTGTCGCTGCCGAAAAACCAACTGCTCTACTAATGCTTGTTCCTGCCGAAAAAATAACTTACTATGTACACGGCGATGTGAATGTGTTCTACGCAATGATTGTAAAAATCGATGAGAATTTTATTTAAATTTACACTATGCAAATTTGTTTTATATGCTTTATTGTGCATTTTTATTAATTATGCGATTTTTTTTATACGTATGCATTTTTTATTAACTATGCAAGTTTTTTTTTATTTATTTGTATGTACATATAGCCGAACCTCCCAATTATCACCTCCTATATAAGCGCATCCTATAAAAATTCTCTTCATAAGCACTCCCAACTATTATAAACATATAGGAAAAAACCTCTATTTAACGATAAGCACAATTCTTTATAAGCATCTTTTTAAAATATTTACTATTATCCCGATAGTGTAATTAGAGAGGTTACACTGTATTGCACATTTTTTTATTACCTATGTGAAATTTTATTGATTTATATTATGCATTTTTTATTATATGATTTTTTTTTTATTTGAAGCATTTTTTTTCTAATATAGCTAAATTTTATTATAAAAAATTTTATAGCTTTTTAATTTCTTTATGTAAATTTTTTTCTGTTTTCTTTCATGCGAAAAACAATAATATAATTAATACGTATTATTGCTTAGTCATATAATTTATTGATTGTGCGTATAATTTTTAATTTGGTATTTTTTAAAATTTTCACCGATTGAGAAATGAACTAGTTCATTTCAGAATTCAATAATGATCTAGATCAATCTGGAATTGATCGAAATCGTGAAATGAGCTTGAACGTCTCTACTCACTATACTTATGCTTCATTTCTAGTTCCTTTAGTTCGTTTCTAATTCCTTTAATTTTAGATCAAAATTATTGTTGTTTGTTTTTTTAAATTTAATTTTTCATTCTCAACCTTAATTCGAGCTTTAACTTCTTTTTTTTTTTTTTTTTAGTTCGTATTCTAATTCTTTAAATTTTTTTTCAAATTAAAATTTTTCACGCTCAATTGTAGAATGTTCATCAATCCACTTCTTTCTACTTTCAGCTGATATTTAGCTTCTATAGACTTAATTTATGACAATTATCTTCACTTAATTTTTTTTTTCTTACGTTGAACCATCTTCTTTCAGCATTAATATTAGTGCCGTTGCCACGATCGTCACTTAACTTTTTAGCCACTTTGACTCGACGATCGTCAAATGATTAACTACTGTAGCAATAAACTAGGCTCGACACTCTCTCGATGATCAATCATGTGAGGGTAGTAACACCGTAATGCTAATTTTTTAATAGAATTATATATACGTATAAGTATTTTATTTTATTTGTTATAAATAAAACAACCAAAAAATCTTAAGATCAAAATAAATAAATAGATATATATGATATCTGATTTATTTTACCGAAAATCAATTCACTGACAGTACGTACGTACAATTCACCGACAGTACATTTCACCAAGTTTTTTTTTATAAATTACAATAACCTTTAGGGGAATTTACAAATAAGGGCCCGGAAAGTGAAAATAATTACAAATATGGGCC